ACATCTAACATGAGGAGCAAGTAGGTTTTAACTCTCAATACCCCACTGAGAACCACAGTTATTCTCTGTATCTGCGAGAAAGAGGTAAAGACACATTTTCAGAGCCTTTTCCCCCATCTCTCATCAACCTTTGATTTTATAGCCGGTACTTGTTAATGAATGACACAAAATATGGTTGAAGGCAGTTCTACGGCAATTAATGTTTCTTTAAAACCTCACATAAACATTAATGTTCAAGCTTATATGATGGAAGAATGGTCTTTAGTTAGATGAAACTCCAGAATTCAATGGTATGAAACTAACTTTCGGTCTCTTCCAATTATTAATTTTTCAAAATGAACAAAAATTTTAATGCTATCAAATGACACTTGCCCACTAACAAAAATTAAGCAATGTGAAAATAAAAATAAATTCAGTGTCACTATTTTACGCCATCCTTCCATGCATCTCTCTATGTAAATACATACATATAGACATACAGTTAAACAATTTTATAAAATGGTTATACTAAATATCTGCTTCTATCAAATCTGGTTTATCAATATAGCATAAACAAGCTTCTATGGACCTAAAAATTTCCACTAAGTCTTTCATTCATTGCATGGATATAATTAACTTATTTAACCAGGCCTACGTTATTGTTAATTTAGACTACTTTCAAGTTTTCCATATTTTAAGGAATCTGCGATGATCACGCCTGGATCACTTTTGCTCACCCTGTCTGGTTATCTTCCACCAGTAAACACCAAGATGTGAATGGCTGAGTCCAAGGACATAGACATTTAAAGCTACCTGTGTGGGCCAGCCGAGTAGCTCAGTTGGTTAAAGTGCAAGCTCTGAGCAACACGGCCGCTGGTTCGATCCCCACATGGGCCACTGAGCTGCGCCTGAGCTGAGCTGCCACTGAGCTTCCAACAGGTGTCAGGATGACTCAGCTGGAGAGAGCACGTGCTCCTAACAAGGTTGCCAGTTCCACTCCCACATGAGATGGTGGCCTACGCCCACCCGCAACTAGGATTGAACACGGCACCTTGAGATGAGCGGCCGCAAGCTGCCCACGGGGGGGCTGGATGGCGACTGGACTTGGAGCTGAGCTAGCTGTGCCCTCTACATCTAAGATTGAAGGACAACAACTTGGCTGTTCCCCTTCCCCAATTCCCCAATACTGTTCTCCTTCCACAATTCCACAATAAAATCTTAAAAATAAGTAAGTAAATAAATAAATAAAACTATCTGTGTGTTGCCAGACTGCCCTCCAGAAGAAAGTCCCACTCACGTTTCCTCTGTGAATGTAAGAGAGCGTTCATTTCCCCCTTCACCTTACTCTCCAATTCTGGGTTTTCAAAATCTTTACCAATGTAACAGGCCCAAAGATTTCCCACTCTTTATTTAACTTATGCTTCTTTGGTTATTCATATATTTATTTATGCACTTATTATTTCTGAATAGCTTGTTTGTAGTGTTCATCAATTTTTCTTTTTCTTACTGATTTGTGATAACTTGTGCTAAATTGGGAATAATCACCCTTTTTAAGCTGTGTGGCAACTATGTTTCAGTCCTTTATCTTTCAGCCTGGATTATGATGGTTTATCAATAAAGAAGCTTTACATTTTATGGAGCCAAATTTACAAAAAAAATTTCTTGAGCCATCCTTAGAAAGGCCCTCCTTACCTGAGCACTTTATTTTTTTTATTTTTTTATTTTTTTAAAGATTTTTTTATTGGGGAATTGGGGGGATGGGAACAGTGCTGGGGAATTGGGGAAAGGGGAACAGACAAGTTGCTGTCGTTTTGTTCTTCAATCTAGTTGTGGAGGACATCGCCTCACTGGCCCAAGTTGGCACCATCATTGCGCTCTTCCTGGGCGAGGCAGATCAGTCGCCGGCTTCTGGACGGCCGCTCACTGCGGCTGCTGGCCGCTCACTGCGGCTGCTGGCTACATACGGTAGCCCATGGCAACCCACTGCCACAGGGGCTGCAGCCTACGCCATCGCCGGCGACTCACGGCAGCCCAGCTCCAGGTTGAGCTGTTGTTCAGCATCTTAGCTGTAGAGGGCAGTGTCACTGGCCCTCATATGTGGGATCCGAACCGGGGCCCTCTGGCATCCCAAGCGAGTTCTTAACCATCGCGCCACTCGGCCGGCCCACCTGAGCACTTTAAAAACGTTCACTCATATTTTTGAGGCCCTGCCAGTTTTATTTTCCACATTGAATCTGGAGTTGGTTTTGGCATGAGAAGCCAGGCAGCAATCCAGCTCTTTCTCTCCCACACCCACAGTGGTCATCCCAGCACCACTTACGACATGGGCTCTGCCTTTTATCCAACGGTTTAAAATCCACTCCTCCCGTCTTTTTTTAGTTGTTGTTTCTATTTATTTTTAAAATAACAAATTCCAAGCTGCAGTTATCAGCAGGCCGTGTGCCTTCCTGCCACGCAGAGGAAGGATAAACATTATGCCCCTCCTATGGTTTTATAATCGGGAACTGCAAGTGGTCTGAAGCAGAAATGGAACTTGTTGGCTCAGGACGATGAAAAAGAAAACCATGTCATTACAGACCAGCAACAGGAGTTGTTACACTTGGCCAGTATTCCGCCCTCTTTAAATAAGCAACACCGAATAACCCCAATCACAAGACAACTGAGACACACAGGGTTTTCCTGCGGCGCTAACGCTCCCCAATGGGTCCACGCAGTGGACAACCTGCAGACACCGCCCTGGGCCTGCTTTGTGGTCAAGGAGGACCACTGGGGACGCCTGCCTTTAAATTGTTCAGGCTGAAATAACGTCCCCTGTGCTTTATGGATCAGGGTTTCGGATGCTCATGAACATGTCTGCAGGGGCTTGGGCGGATTTAAGGTTCTGATTCAAAGCTCTGATTCTGAGAACAGTGCTGGCCCTGCTGTGAGCCGGCACCCGACAGCCCTCTGCTGTTGGAGCAGAGTGGCTCTGTGTCTGGGAATCCAGCAACGAAACGCTCACAGAGAGAAGCGAGCTCTGCGACTGTCCTCCTGGCATGTCAGGTACACGGGCGGCTCTGATCAACAATGAGAGCATTGATATTACTCACATTCATTTAAAGAGTGAACCTGGACATGATTGGAAACTTAGCACCTGCCCGAAAAACACCCTCTGACCCACAGGTGAGGGAGCCCGCACCTCATGGGCCATAAAGAATAGGTTCCTTCCTCCACATTTTATTAGCAAGCAGAAGCCCCCTTTTAATGATCTGGGCCCTGCCCTTTGTGAGTCAAGATTTCATATTACACAGAGGCCGTATCACCATCAACCATGCATGTCGTCTTCTGGAAAACTAGCTGAAGACACTGCCTGTCACATTACACACTGCATATAAGGGACCTCTTGCATGACACTAGGTTATCAACTTAGGTCTAGTACGTCGAATTCCTCTGTTCCCTCTATTGCTTACTCTGCTTTAAAACACATTTTTCTTTGTATTTGAACACTGCAAGTTCCTTTAAGTCACCTTTCGAAGTAGAGACAATGTAAGCGCCAGAAAGGGAGGGACGTTCACTGTTTTGTTGGCTGCCATATTCCCGGTACCTAGAACAGCACCTGGCCTGTAGTTTGTGGTCACTAAGTATGTTGAACAAATACCCAGATAATAAATGGTTAAAGACATATACACGTGCATATACACGCACATACATGCTGTGCATTGACCCTCGTTTTATCAGCAATAACCCAAAGTTAAAGAAAGCTTTTGTTTGCAGTCTCCTTCAGTCAGTAATCTTCACTGCACATCTACCATGTGCCACAGCCCCTCTCAAGGGACTCATATGTCTACCAGGCTCAGCCCAGGGATCTCCAGATAATTCCAGGGCAATGCAATGACCACAGCGGTGAAGGGTGTTTGCAGATATCCAGGAACTCTCAGGTGGCCAGCTGGGAATACAAGGAGCTGGGGCTGAGGAGGGGGGCCATTCTTCTGAAAAAGGCTGTGGCCAGGGTGAGCCACCCAGCATGCACAGGAGTTGGCTATGGGGTGAGGTAGGGAGCCAAGGGCAGAGGTGGAGCAGAGGGAACCACAGGCACAGCTAAGGAGCTATAGAGAGCTGGATACGGCTGTGGCGTCGCGTACAGGACAGGAAGTACTGAGAGGTGACACAACAAGGAGCCACGGCCTGGCACACCCTGGGAGCCAGGGACCTGTCCCCTCAGCAAAGGGAGCTTTCCAGTGGGTTTAAGTCAGGGAGTGGCCTGGTTGGATCTGCACCGTGGGTGGGTCACCCAATGGCTGGGTGGCACCTGGACTAGAGCGAGACCAGACCCAGGTGGGAGTTGATAAGAGCCTGCAATAGCACGTGGTTACAGAAATGCAGGAATGCAGAGGAGAAATATTTTGGAGAAAGTTGCGTACTTTAATTTTATATTTCCTAGTTACTAGTATTTTTATTCTACACGTCATAATTACTAAAATTCTCAGATCATGTGTAAGGGTCTCTTCTTTTATAAATTTTCATTTTATTGCCTACTACAGTATACACTTCGTTCCCCAATTCTTGATGCAAAAACATAGAAAGTAACTGCTAAACTTGTCATGACAAGGTACAGCCACTTCTGTGCTTGCTTAGGGACAGCAGCAGACAGGAAACATGTAATACTAACCTTGCTAAATTTCCCTGGGGGGGTGGGAGGGGCAGACACAGTTCCAGATAAGAAAGCATGTATTCGTAACATTTAAAAACATATCCATAAGGTTTATTTAATCCTATCACAGCAATAGAAAGGACTTCAGGCCAACACACAGACTGACCCAAATACCTACACTTAAATATCTAAGGTGGAAAAAAAAATCATCTTTAAATTCCAGCACAGAATATAGAAACAATACTTTCAAACAGGCACTCTCCCTGCCAGCAACCTCCCAAGAGAATACTCTTCCCCGGCTTTTCTCCCCCTTTTCCAGAGTGAGGATAAGCGAGCGAGCCCGGGAGTCAGCGCCGTTTCCACAGCCATCGCCCCATCTGGCGGCTGGTACCTTATGCACGATGAGCTCGTGAGTGCCATCCGGGAGGGTCCTCCCATCTTCCTGCATCAGGGGGACGAAAGAGAAACCAAACAGCTTCTTCTCTCCTTTCTCCTTTGCTGTGGGAGAACAGGAAAGGAAAAATGGGTTACTCGCTTGTTTGAGCGCCTGCTCACACAACTGTGTCCGGATAACAGGCTGTCAAGACGCGAGGTCATCGGAAGCGTGACCCGCACCCACCAGCTGCTTCCATCAGCGGGGAGCGGCTCTGAGGACGGGAGTCTGTGTCCGTAGCCACCCTCCCGCCCCACTCCAGCCCCTTAGTGGCCACTTACATCCTGGACTAGTTTTCCTCATTATCTGAAGTTACGTTATTTAAGTTCGTGTACTGCCTCCCATCCCTCCCTCCACTTCTGGATGGAAGCTCCACGGAGGGCAGGATTGTTACCAGTTTTATTTTACTCTAAGCTTGGTATCTCGAGGCGTGCTAAGAATGCAGTAGGTGCTCAGTAAACTCTTAGCAAGTGAACGTACGAACAAGGGAATGTCAAATGCAGTGTTTTGCTCACTACCCCTGGGAAGGGAGTCTCTAGGATCTGCCTCTGTCCACGACAGAACTGCTTTCCCTCGAGTCGCAGGTGTGAAGACGGAGAGCCCTGTGGACTTGACCTCCTTGGAATCGGCTGGGCACGCCGAAAGCCAACACCAGCATGAATGGCAATCTGGAGTTTAAGTAGGGCTCCCTGCAGCAGTATTCTGGAAGCCAGGAATGAGGCAACGAGGTTTGCAGAGGCCTCAGTAAGGATTACAATGGCTAGAGGGGTCATGAGCCACTATGTATACAGAAGGAAACTGAGATCACCTGAGGTGAGGTAACTTGCTCTGGAGCTCTTGATTATCATTCCAGTTCTTTAATTTCTCTCCAAAATGGAGAAAGCTTTAAAAGAACCATGTTTGTTCAGCTCCACTCTCCTCTTGTACTTAAAACACACAGGCAGGAGTTCTCCAGCGCTGGCGGCCTCCTGGGGCCTGCCAAGTTCTTCTCTCCCACACAAGCGTGCGAGTGGAGCGTTACACACCAGGAAAGCCCAGCTCGGGGGAGCAGGAGACCTGAGCTAGGCCAGTCAGACCCGGTGATCTGTAAGATCAGACAAGAGGTGCCAGCACCTCATCATTCCCTTATAATCGCGTCTGGCATTGAACCCCAGAGAAGTGGAACCCCACACAGAGGACAGTAATATTGGCTGGCTGGCTTTGGCCCCTTGCATGAGGACATCCCTGAAAAGGTAATGACAGCAAAGAATTCTCTTTGATAATCATTAATTTCAACCCCAGAGAGAAACTGGGAAAATATCGCTAGTCTTAAAAATTAAGCAAAAATCACAGCAAAAAAATCTCTGGGAAGAGATTTTTACATCAATGAGGTAGGTGTTGGGTATGGAACTTATGAATTAGGGGAGAAGAGTAATTTAGAAATAATTTCCTAAGTTTATTCAACTATCTTTTTGGTGTGGTTTTGATATTTAATTCAGAAAGATAAAAATATTCCATGACAAATAAAATAAGCAAAGATAAGAAACAAAGCAATAGCTTCCCTAAATGTGCCTTCTATTCTAAAATAAAATACCCAAGTTTAAAGTACATGGCCCCTGGTCCTGAGCTATTCCATCATGATTAATAAACTGAGTGAAATGTTACCGGCAGTATGTACAGTATGACCCCCTTGGACTAAGAAAACTCTAAATGTATGATTCTACCTCCCAACTTTCTAATCTTCCTAGCACCCCAACGCCAACAATTTTGACCCCTGGGACCTCCAATTTATTGATCCCCTTCTCTCCCGTCTGCTCCCAACTTCCCATTTCTATGGTCCATCATTCTACTCACTTCCTTGCACATACCCTCAAATCCTTCATTCCACGCTTCCACGATAACACTGCAACCTGGTTAAATCCTACTTACAGCTTACCCCATGCCTAGGCTACACCAATCTCACTTCAAGTAACACACAAACTGGGCAAACTTTCTA